CCCCCCTCCACATCAAACCATGACAACGATACAGTGCATACTAGATGTCACGGTGTCTCTTACCTTTCTAATGGGCAAATCTCTTAGGAAGTCTAGCACTGCCTGTCTCTCAGGAGGAATTCTGCATTGTCCATTAGGTTTATTACGATCACTGCACATTTTTGCTAACATCGTATTTGGTGCTATTCCTTAAAAACAAACAAACAAAACCTGTGTTTTTAAAAAATACAAGGCAATGTTTAATTGCAACTATCCAATATTTAAAAGCATAAGAGTAGCCTCTACATTTGACAAAGACTAAACATAAGCAAAAGAATGACTATAACTGATAACCAGATTTGTTGCAATTCTGCAAAACCATTTTGTAATAGACCTGTGAAAACACAAACACATGTGGTAGATTAAATGTAACGGATGCACCAGATAAAGTGTGCCTACCATCTTAAGACAGTCAGGGTAACACAACATACACTAATCAGTCATGAGAGGTTAAATATCAAGTGTTTAAAAATAACATTAGTTACATGATTTAATGATTTTTTTGATGCTGGGCATGGTAAGGCAAAAGGAAATGCTTACAACAGCTGTTACAATCAACTCTTAATGAGAAGGATGTATTTCTTTCTTGTATTTCAGTAAAAAGAATAAATTAATTTTGACGAAATGTACCAAATTAAAGTATTTCATGGGCTACTGCTGCTATGTAGTCATTTAGAAATATATATATATATTTCCCTGACACTTGTAGGGATGAGGAGGGATTGCTCTTTTCTATCAAAGTGCTGTTTTTACAAATGAAAAGTGGGAATTGGTTTAGCAAGAAAAATTAAATTCTGTGCTACAGCCCCAGTGGTCTAAATTTTTTTTTCTCACTGATTAAACATATTATTGAAGATGACAGAAATAATTCTATTTATTATTGATTATCCGTATTTTTTCAATTAGCCTTATAACCATTTTTCATTTTTGGGCTTAACACCCCTGATGCACTTACAAAAGATATGTGTGTTTTCTAAACAGTAACTTATCCTTAGGAAGACAAAATTCCAGTAGAACAAAATTATTATTTTGCTAACACTCATGAGGTAACATACATGGGGGCGGGTTGTCTCATCCTGCTTCTTCTTACTTGCTGTTCCTTTACCTCTGCTTACATTCAACACTTCCCTGGCCTTCCACATCTGCTCCATAAAGCTCAGCACTCCCTGACACCTCACTGACCTGGTTCACAAAGCAGTTCGGATGGCATCCAAATTAAGTGGCTAGGGACACATGTTTTCATTAGTGACCTAATACAGATTATTATAAAAACAGCTGAGATTTACAGGAGGTTGCCTGAAATCAAAAGACATAAACCTTGGATGGTAAATATTTAAAAGCTAGTGAACAGTTATATTAACTTCAACGCATATTTACTTCTCTGAGAGCTAACTTTTTAATGAATTTTGATATTGCCTCAAGCAAAGAACAGCATGGAGAACTGTTAGAAATACTTAATATTATGAATCTGCTATTCAAACTAACAGCAATTTAGCAACCAGTGACAGATTTTACTATGACCACTGGCTTATTAAAACAATTCACACGAATGACTAAAACAACAATCACCAGTGCTAAGATTAGGTCCTGAGTGCACCGGTTATTCTTCCACACTACTTATATTTCAAGAGGAAAAAGGCAAAAAGATGACACATCTGTTTCTATGATTAAAAAAATCCCTCAACAAACAGGAGTGGGTCTGATAGCTGTAACATCTCTTGAAACACCTGAAACTCACAAGTCTTTGCAGGCTTGCAAAGACAGCATATTTCTTTGCAGCACAAAAATACTGTGACAATGCTAATTTCTTAATTAATGTCCTCTGAAATTAATGTCGAAGACATTGTGAAAATACAAAGCGTTATTATTTTTCATATATGAATACCTGCACTAGCAGTCAGTTGAGTTTTCTGCTCAATTCTAAAGCGAATTTCCTTCACAACTTCCTCTGCAGAAGTTCCAAAAACAACAGAATTTTCCACTGATTGGTGTCTTCGTTCAGGGTGTTCATCCATCAGAGGTGTGTTGTCTTCAAACAGTACCGGTGAAGAAGAGTATACATCTTCAGTATATTTGGCAGACATATTTATATCATTTTTATCTATGTTAGATAGAAACACAAACAATCCATTCATATAAAACATATACTTTTATAGATTTCCTTCTGCAGTGGCTGAAGAGAGTTCATTAGCAGTTCTATTTTTCTGTTTGGAAAAAAATACGTAATTATTTAGCCAAAGCAATTGTAGTGCTTTTTTGTTTGAAGAAAAGAGTCATAACTGCTTTGTTCTTAACATGATTTGAGCTTGGCTGACATTGGAAGAATTGGGTAGGAGACTGGATGTAACTTCCAGAAAAGCAACAAGGTTTAAAGGCCTGTTGCTGCAGCAGCAGAAAAACATCAACATTTTGGCATTGTTTCATATCAGAGTGAAGGCCAAATGCTCCCTTTTTCTGTGGAAATATAAATATTTCACAGAAGTTTTTTCAATATTCTCCAGAAAAAATGAGAGTTCTGGAATATCTGGTTCTAGAACTATCAGCCTGGTGAGTTTGTTTTCAGCTGCAGCCATGGTAGAACAAGCAACGTTAGCAGCTTTGTCTCACTCTGCTGTCATGGTTTCACATTCTGAGTGCTTGTTTGTGTTTCAGAAGAAAGAATGTCAGAGAAGTATGAAGGGGCACATGACTACACATTAGTGATATTCCTTTTGTAAAGACTATGCCAGTTTTTTTGTTTCTGTTCTATTAATGTTTTTCAGAAGTAGTGTACCCTTAATTACCTTCTTAATGGGTATTTAGATAATTTTTGAATACTGGTAATATAAGTGTTCCGGTTTGTGCATCAATCAACCATTTGTATGACTCCTCCTTTTTTATTATTCCCGATTGGGTATACAGTTGTGGATGTGGTTCCAACTCCATCTTCTAGAGCCAAGTGAAATCCAGTTATATCTTAGGCATTACTGTAATTCCTGCAGTGCTCATTACTTTATACATTTTTAGTCTTGTAAAATAATAATGTAACTAGAGCTTACGCACACTGTCTTTGCAGACAATTTGTCATGTTTCTGATGTACAGGACTCACTATGGCATTTCAGGAAACATCTTTGGAAAATACAAAAAACCTTTACAACAGGAAGTTTCTTTATTCTACACCTCCTTAAGAAATAAGATTATTACTTCTTATCTGCAAAATTATCACGTTGAATTGCAAAGGAAAAATACACACCTAAACCACGCCATTTGGTTTAGGAAGCGTAGTACCGCTTTTCACACATTTTGCTGAAGTGAAAATAAATCATCAGCAGTGTTCCTTACATGCGCGGGTGAGTAGTACAGGAAGTTCACCTGTAAACTAACAAATCGGAGCTAAAGAGTATATGAGAGGACGAGGTTATGCAAGGACTTAAGTATCTACACTTTCAATGGGTGTGGCTTATCTGAAGTTTACGTTATATGCACATCTGACCAGTAGCCCCTGCTCCCAATCCCTGGTAATGTGGTTAGCATAATTAACACTATTTCATAAGGCAAGCAGCCATTCTCTGGGACCGACCGGGTCACGTGTTCATTCCCTTTCTCCTCATTATCAGGCCTTGAAGGTCCTGTACACGGAGCAAACAAACCAAACAGAATTCTTCTTCACCTCCCTACTGGCCTCAAGGTTCCTGGGCACCAGAATGATTATTCCCTCCCTTGCCGGCCTTGAAGGTCCCAGGCATCAGGCCAAACTGGTGTTGTTGATGACGCCGTCACAGATCCGGGCAGCATAACAGCACCCAGAGCACGTTCTGTAAAACTAAGCAGTTACAAGTGCTAAGGGAGAACTTGGGCCAGAACTGCTGCTGGACAGTGAGACTTGGGACCTCCTGGCGGACAGGGACACGTCCACTATCATCTGCTTCCTCCAAGGACTGAAGGAGTGACTCACATTCTTTTACATGATTTTTGAGTCTAGATTATGATTGTTATATTGACACAGCAAACCACGTATTAAGATTTGACCCTATGTGCAAGGGTGGTTAGAAGGTGATTAGAAATTACAAGTTAAGTTGTACTATAAATTCTGCATTACACTACTTAGAGATTGTACATTGATTCTGCTTGTAGAAACCCTGTGCTATTCTAATCATAAAGTCTGTGCTACACGAATTATAATTTCCTGTTAAGAAAATAAAGCTTATATTGTTAATGACGATTTACTGCCATCGTCACTCTGCGAAGGATCCCTAAAAGAAACTGTCTGTCCCCTCAGCGTCAGGTGACTGCATGAAAAGAGTAATTCGCTTACCTTTTTCTGTAGTGTTTTCTGTGTTAAAAAAGAATCTTCTCTTATCTTCAGGCCAGTTCAGTCTTTCCCTCAAGTGTTCTGTTATGTTCACGTAGGCTTCATCTAGGCCCATAGGCATAAAACTAGGATCATATTCGGCCAGTATTTCTCTAACCTTGATAAAGACATAGTGAAAGTTTAAAGCCTTGTTGCTGTAAAAGCAGATCTTGACACACAATTACAAGGTGAACAAGTGTACTCTGAAACTTCAAGGTGACCAATCGATATTAAAGATATTTATGGAACAAATTATTTATTGATACTGGAAAATTATAGTACTGATTCTCACAAGTAGCAAGATACCAATAATAAGTGAGAAGTAAACAGATTTTGAGCAGTGTATTTTACTACAGAGCTCATGAAGATCAGTGTGTAAAGGACTTCACAGGCACTAGGTTCACAGACAGTGCAGTAATCACTGAACAGAACTCTGGGGGCCTGGGAACTCAGCACAGCACATGAGCTGATGCACCTTCGCACTGGGTGTCAGATATCACATATGCGAAGGTTAAAACAAACAAACAAAAAACACCTAGGTTTTAAATTATATTCAAACTAAAGTTATAGCCAATGTTTTAGAGCACTGGTTAATGCCACAGGCAAAACTCATTAGAAGAATCTTTAGTGGTAAATGCACCTTCCCAAAAGACAACATAATAAATTAAATGGTCAAAAAAAAATCTCTACCTTTTTCCCCTCTTTTCCCTCCCTCTTTTTTTTTTTTTTTTAAACAAGAAGGAAAATCTGACTGTGTCATGTTTTCTCTATCAGTTTTGGTCAAATTCTTAGGTATCACAATATTTGTTTCACATGCACTTCATCCTTCTGAAACTGATTAAAGATAGGATTCAGAGCTCAACTTTATTGACAAAATGAAATAAATTTAAATATTTTCAGTCTAAATCCCAAGAGAAAAGCATAACTAAAAACCTGAATCAACCCAAACCTTTAATACTTTACCCGATAAAACAACAAATGAAATTCATATCATGAAATCCAAGATCCTTAACAAGTTCAAACCCATTCTGAGATACACATATTTATACACACTTTTTTACAACAGAAGTGAGAAAAATCAAATAAGATCAAAATTAGTAATTAGCTTACTTTATTTATGCAGAGAGATTAAGGCTCCATAAAAATAAATAAATAAATCCTAGCATAATTTTGTTGTAGGCAGGAGACTTGTGCCACGCATTAGTTTGAATTAAGACCTACAAAATATCTTTTTTTTTTTTTTTTTTTTTAAAAACAGGATTTTGGGTATCCTAAGTATTTCTCCTGGCACTATGTAAAATTACTTCCATTAAAGCAAACTGTGATTTTTTTTCTCCCTCATTTTTTTGCGCTTTCAAGTCCCTTCTTTTAAAACAAATGAATCTGCATTTAGAACTCACTAATGCTCTTTGCTTCTGTCCAGTAATCAGCACTCAAAATTATGCGTACGCATTGCATGAAATTATTTTCTCCATGTTTCCTATGTACTTGCAGCTTCCTAGTAATTACATTATGCTCCATGGTTTTGAAGTTTTAAGAATAACAAGGCTCAAGTGGTATCACTAGCTCACTACACGATTTTGAAAATCTCTATCTGCATCAATACTGACTTCATCAAAATGGCAAGATGAGTGAACATAATGCTTTTTCATCTCATTGCCCAAAAGCACCACTGTTTCTTTCAACCTATGTTCAAAGCCATATCACTGAAGAATTTAATATTTTAACTACCACTTTTCACATTATCTACAACTGATGTATCGATAGAGTCTAAAACCAAGAACATTGACTTTTGTTTAGAGAGCACTTTCAGACTTACCTCTTTACTTACTTTGCCGTATTTTTCAAAGTTTAATGGTACTATAGTTAGATGTGGGCATAGCTTTTTAGCAATAAATCCAGGCATGGCTGCACGTACACCAAATCTCCTAGCATGGTAATTTGAGGTGGACTTAGGAGAGATTAAATAAGTTTAGTGTTCAGTAATCAAATTTTTCTTGAAGTTCAGTGTTAATAATCAAGTTCTAATCACATATCTCCATGCAGAAAAGACTGACAAGCCTGAGAGTTTATACGCATTTCCCACCCTCCTGCCTTTCAGTCTGTTTACAGCCTATAAACTTTCATCAGTACACTTTTTAGTGAAAAATAAAATCCAGGTTACATGGTCTAGTCTAAGAACAGATGTTTCCTCTATTATTTTTGTTATTTTTTCCACACTTACGAAAGTGCTCTATGTAACACTGTCATTATGTCATTATTGTATGGTTTATTAGGCTTTAGATTCATAGAATCATAGAATTGTCTGGTTGGAAGAGACCTTCAAGATCATCGAGTCCAACCATTCACCCTGCACTGTCAGGGTCCCTAAACCATATTGCTCAACACCAAATCCACATGGTTTTTAAACACGTCCAGGGATGGGGACTACACCACCTCCCTGGGCAGCCTGTTCCAATACTTCACAACCCTCTCTGTAAAGAAGTTCTTCCTGATATCTAACCCAAATTTCCCCTGGAGCAACTTGAGGCCATTCCCTCTCATCCTGTCATTCATAACGTGGGAAAGAGACCGACCCCCATCTCCCTAAAACTTCCTTTCAGGTAATTGTAGAGAGCAATAAGGTCCCCCCAAGCCTCCTCTTCTGCAGACTAAACAGTCCCAGCTCCCTCAGCCGCTCCTCATAGGACAAGTTCTCTAAACCCTTCACTAGTTTTGTTGCCCTTCTCTGACACACTCCAGCACCTCAATGTCCTTCTTGAAGCGAGGGGCCCAAAACTGGACACAGTACTCAAGGTGTGGCCTCACCAGTGCTGAGTATAGGGGGACAATCACTTCCCTGCTCCTGCTGGCCACACTGTTTCTGATACATGCCAGGATTCTGTTGGCTTTCTTGGCTGCTTGGGCACACTGCTGGCTCATGTTCAATTGGCTGTCGATCAGCACCCCCAGGTCCTTCTCTGCTGTGCAGCTTTACAGCCACACTTCCCCAAGCCTGTAACGCTGCAGGGGGTTGTTGTGGCCCAAGTGCAGGACCCGGCACTTGGTCTTGTTGAATTTCATACAGTTAGCCTCTGTAGAGGCTGTGTATGAAATGACTAGGATCCAGTCTGTCCAGGTCCATCTGTAGAGCCTCCTGACCCTCAGGCAGATCAACACTACCTCCCAATCTAGCGTCATCTGCAAACTTGCTGAGGGTGCACTCAATCAATTCATATAACTGATTTCTGTATTAGCTTGACATTTGGCCTTACCAACATACTCATTGATCCCACTGCTATTGGCTTTTCCTTCAGCTCTGGATTGTCTCTCATTTCCACAGCCGCATAGAAGGCATCCATGTCAATGTGTACAATCGTATTCTTAAGGTTACGGCTCTGTTCCAGTTCTATTACAAGTTTGTCCACCTGAATAGAATAAACCAATAATTGAAAAACTACTAACCTGGCAGAAGTGCAAAAGTACAGATGATCCTAAAAACTCAAATACATCTGGCGTATAGTTAAAAAAAACAAAACCCAAACTCCACCAAAATAGCACCAGTAAAAAAAAACAGAACCAAGTTTCTGATGAAATTTTCTCTCAGAGGAAACACTGCTGCAGAAAATGGCATAAAAAAAATCCCCAAAACTCAATGAATAAAACCCCCTGACCAACAAACAACAAAACCCCACTTCTGTGAAAAAAAAAAAAGATACATCTTCTGATTCAGACAGAAATTTTGTAAAACCATTGACTCTGCAGCTTTAGCTACTGTGATACAGGTTATTAAAAAAAAAAATCTGAAAAACATGCTACTATAGAATTTCCAACACTCCCAAATTAAGCTACCACACTTCAGAAAACTGGCCTAGATAGGTGAAGAGTAGACTGACAGCTCACAGGGTAGATTAATCTTTCTTGTCAGAAATAAGGTCTCAAACAAACAGTTTCATTTACTGCTAAGTAAGCTACTGTTAATCCTTTAATAAAATTCCTCAACATTTGTTACAGGAATCCATCATACAAGACTAGATTGACATAAAAATTGCCAGGTAACCTTTGAAGAAAAGTCCATTGGAAGTGTGTTTCACTCCAAGAGTTAAAGATGTATCGTTTGCTAGCAGACTGAGCAGTACTCCTGCTTCATCCACTTCTCTCCATGACCTCTCCATGAAATACTTTAACTGTGCTTAATTTGCCTGCATTCTTTTACCAAAAGACTTGCAGATAGCGTGCTTGTTTCTGAAATATTTTTCAACTGTGAAGTACGGACCAGAAAGCATGAGTGCATTATTTGACAGTCTACTGATTTAAGATTACTATGTTGGCAGTACCACATACCATTCCAGACGCAAAAGAACAAATATATTAAAAAAAAAAAGGAAGTGCTATCTAACCACTGTTATCTAACCACACTAATGACTATGCTAACCTCTATTTATACAACAAAAGTTTGCTACTGCTAAAAAAAACCCCAACAAATAGGCATAATGGAACTCAAGAAATGCAAGTAGTGAAAAGGAATGGAAGTTTCACTTTGCTTGCAAGCACAAGGATACACAAATACATTCATGACATCAAGGCACCATGACAGAAATATCAGGATTGACGACAATGGGTTTATAGTCCCGGAGAGAAATGTTTACATGCAATTTGCATGGTTACTTGAAGACAGTTTCTCTCTTTTTTCCCCCTCAACAAAGCTGCTTAATAAAAAACATAAAAACCTTATCAAAAAACCCATCTTTGGAGCTGAAGACTCCACCAAGGCGAAGTGGCTATGAGTGTTCTAACTAAATTGCTGAGTAATGATTTACAATGTCCTTTCTCTGTTTTGTTCCAAGTTGATTTGAGGGATGAAAGGCTAGAATGGGGCCTCAAACTAGGTTATTCCATACAAATGAGCACAGTATGCTCCCTGAGGCCGAGAAAACTGGTTTAGACAAAGCAAAAGCACAAGGGGAAAGCCATTCAAACAATAACCAGGAAAAAAAAGTGAGGAATTCACATTATTTTCATTACACTATTAATGCAGCAGGGGTTCAAGTCAACACTATAATCACGAAAAGCATCCTTATTTTAAACTCTATTTTACAGATAATTTTCAGGTTACTCTCAAATTCAAATTGCTTAATTAATTAATACTGTTAATTGCTCTAGTTACATAACTTCTGTATTTATCACATTTATAACAAAATTCTTTTTGCATTTTCTCCCCAAACGTATTTCTAACAAGCTACTTACTGATTATCTAACACATGCATCTAAAGAATGAAGGAATATTACATTAAACTGATCAGAAATATAAAAAGATAACTCTTCAGCAAAAGCAACTGATATAAATAATATGCCAAAACAAAACACACACAGATGTATCCATAGAATTCTGGGAACCTTCAATTTTCCTTTGAAGATAAAGAGAGATATGAAGTTTTTTTTATTTCTATTCTAGATGAAAAAAACCCTAAAAAATACAAATTGTAATTAGAAGTTTAATTTTGCATACAGTGACTTTTAGACAATTTGAAGAGTAACCTCTCATTCTTTCTTATCCCATGATGCAAACCACAAGTTCTCTGTCTTAAATTGCTTTGTCAAAGTAATACAGAAAAGATTATTCAAACCTCTTCCATATTTGTAAAAGCATCTGACAAGGTGAAGAGATAGTAAACAGTGATACCATTTTAAGACAATAATAACTATTTACAGAATAAACATCTGGGATAAAACTCACATTTATAAAAAGAGCAAACATCAGTACAGCAGTTTGCAAATCTGGTAGCAGCTGGATACTTTTAAAAGTATTAACTATTGCTGAATTTTAAGCAATTCAATTTTAGGCTGTGAGGATAATCTAAATCTGTTACAGAAAAATTTTCAAAAATTAAGAATTACATGATACTGTACAGTATATAATTTCCCTTAAAAGATGACAATGACATTCATTACAAAAATGTCAAACTGCCTTTCAGATTTCAGATTATTTTAAAAAAAAGAACAAAACAATCAAACAAAAAACCAAAGAAATATCTGTGCACCAAAAAGGCAGTTTTAAGAAGATTTACAAGTGTTTTCTAATCTCCAATATCTGCAAAATCAATGGTTGTAAGTGCCCTTCTGCAAAGAAGGCCTTCTAAGGAAAACTGTAAAAATATGAGAAATACTCTCACAAATTCCTTGGCATACACACACTTTAGTGGTGAGAAAGACAGCACTACATTGCAGATTCTGTATCTTATTTACATTACTGTTTCCAATATGTAACCAGGATTTTGTCCAACAAATCCAGTAAGTGTGGATTTTTTGGTGTGTTTGTTTTTACATTACAGCATTTACATCAACTGCCAGCTTAGGAAGACATATTCGAGCCTCTAACCATCCTACATACAAGCCTTGATTTGCAGATGAGAACCTGCAGCATTCATAGCAGAAGATACATGGATACTTTGTAATTCTAGGGTACTTCCCACTTAGAAATCTTAGGAGAACAAATTCTCTCATGGTATGAAAAAGAAGAGTTAAAGAATTTGACAGACAACAACAATAAAGAAGAAAATAAGATAATGAGAGCTGACTATAACCATATCTGAAGACTTAGAGAAGCCGATTAAACAACACACAGCACATACTAAGAAAAGCAAATGGGACAAATAAGACTTTCAAAGTTAAAGGTGGAGATAATGGCCTGGGGAAGAGTAGCTGGCAGGTGACAGAAGAAGGGGGAGGCATTAGGATATCAAACAGACAGACAAGACTCCCCACAAGATTGGGGACTTCAGTGGAGACTGTAGGCATAGACAAGCACTGGTTTGGAAAGAGAGAACTGATGGTAATATGGAGACATGGGACAAGAAAAGGAAAATTCAAGATAGGATAAATTAAAAGAGAGGAGAGGAGAGAGCAAAAGGGTCAGAACTTGTGATGCAGAAATGAGGGCAACAATAATCATGAACTAGAGTTTATCTGCATACAGAGGATGGAACCAAAATCCAAGATTCTGAGATGTTTTTATAGCAGCAAATCAGAAATTAGCCAGCAAAAAGGTGTGCATGTTATCCCCCTCTAACGACAGTTTTCATGCAATATGGCAGCTAACTTAACAGTTACTCCACTGGTAATAAAGATGACGGCTATTTGAGCAAGTGGCAAAAAGATTTCAAACCTGAGGTTTGAATTTCAGGTCCCAGTAAGACCCACATGAAAGAATTTATCTCATTTTTGAAGATTCTTTTTTCTTCTACAGAAAGCAATTTTCATACAAAACATTAAAATAAAATAACATTACGTTGCAAGATCAAAGAATCAAGTTCAGAAAAAGAACAGCATGAGGATAGTCAAAGCAATTCAAATTTACTGGCTTTCACTATATGCACTATATATTTTTTAATTACATAACCATATGCTAATTTTATAGGATCTGTGTCATTCATGTCATTAATTTTGTAAGAAAGACTGTTCTCTGTAAAATGAAAAGTTCTGTGGTGAAGGAAGGATGGAAATGGAAGTATTTTTTAATAATTAAATGACTTAAAAGCTACCCCAGACAACTGAAAAAAAAAAAAAAAGACCAGACAAGCAGATACATAACTGAACCATGTTAAAGATTAACTAAAAACAGTTGAGGCATACAGGTTTATAATAAACTTTTCAGAGGTACTCAGTAATTGCAAGCTTTTCTGGGCACACATTTGAGACACTGGCATCTAATTTACAGATGTTCACTGCAAATCTGCAGTGAACAAAAAAAGATTGCACACCAAAGCTTGGGACCTGTAATCCTCACAATGGCATTCGAAACTAACCGATATGTTTAATCTTCATGTGCTTCAGCTCCTCATCTACAAAACAAAAACATTTTGCTGCCGTATTGCAAGAATAATTCAAAGAATTCACACTACGTGGCGTACAACGTAGAAAAGTCTAGGAGGAAGTCAGTTATTCTGCATTCAGAGATGGATTAGACTGCTGTACAACAAAAAGCTTGGGGCTACCCATTGAGCAATGAGGACAACAGTAAATATCGAATAATTGCCCACTCAGTGAACACTGGTTGCACTAGGAACTGAATGAAGCAGGAATCCTGTTAAGGAAAAATAGCAAGCAACCACGTAATTAAAGACTGAATCACAGTATAAGTGAACAAGGAAAGGAATTAAGCTTTTACAAGGAACTTTAATTCTGTTGTGCCTAAGAATGTTTAATGTGCAACCTTGGTGCCTTTGTTTTCTTTCACAACCTTTCATACACAGTAATTCTTTAGATACTATTATTTACCATTAGCATTTGAGAAGCGAACTCACCTCTTCATCTTTCTAGTTCAGACCACTTGTATTTCTTGTGACTGCTTACCATGGCGATTTTTTGATTCATTAGCAAAAATAAGGAATAAATTATATCCAGAATTGCTGACAACTGTGATTTCCCTCATGCCATTGCAGGCCACCAAACACAAATATACATGTATTATAAAAACAGAAAGGAAATTCAAAACTGGAATGATACTTATTAACAAGATATTTAACAAAACTTTTACATACACCATAATGACATCTCTTTAAACTGATCAGACTTAGAAGAGGAATTACTTTGATTCATTTTACTCATTTAGAGAATTTTTTTGAGTGATTTTAAAATTTATTCTTCCAGTAATTTTTTATTAAGATTACATCATCAAAATATTGTGCACTTTTACTCGTACAACTAATGTCAAAATGGTATTTAACATTTTTCTAGTTTATTGCATTAAATGCTGGTGATAAGCACACATTAAAACGTTTATTATTCCCCATTTACACTAGAAAGTCTTTACAAGATTAGTACCTGCAGCTGTGCTTTCAAGAGCTGTTGCGTTGTAATTTTCTCTTTTAGCTGCATCATTTTTTCAATGCGTTGGTTAACTTGTTGATCTTTTTTAAGTTCATTTTCATAAAATCTAGAACCCTGGAAGAAAGTTGCGAAAACACTAAGGTTTTTATTTGTCCTTTCCTATAAACACTCATATTTGATCTACAGAAAATGTAAAATACAGTAACCGTGTACTCAGTATATTTACTTGTTCTAGCACTTTGACAACAGCAATTTCAAAATAGTAAATAAAAATCAAACTATTCTTTGCAATACCTCCAAGGTAAGGAGTATAAAAACCTAAAAATAAATGATTTAAGCATTTTGCCAGACTTCCATATAGTTTAATCTACATGGAAATAAATGATGACATTGTAGAAGTCAAATCTAATTATAATGTTGAGTATTTCGTCGAACATTTAATTTTGAAGGACACTGCAGAATTAGAAGCTATTCAGAATAGAATGATGAAAAGTAAATGGGTATAAAAAAGCCCTCTTGCTCTCCAATACGTAATTGCTCCTTCAAGAACAGGAATAAATATAAGGAGATGTAATGAAAACATAAAAAAAAACAACCATCATGTAGAGAGCATATAATGTTACTTCCTTTCCTGACTCGTAACAAAGAAAAGAAGGCATGGAATGAAACAGAAAAGAGGAAAACTCAAAATCAGAAATAAAATATTTTTCTTGCAACATCTGCTTAGCTTACAAAAGAAATGGCATTTTCAGGAAGAGGTAATGTCTTTTATTGAACCACTTGATAAAACCTGCATAAATTAACAAATTTTTAGCTAAAACCCTCCGCCTACCAAACTGCCACTGATGCCAAGAATTTAGCCATAGTTAAATAAGAATCAGGCGTTTTTATAAAAAGCAAAAATATGCACTTTTATAATAATGATTAAAAGGATGAATGGCAAGACTGTAATGCGTCATGTCTTATTGCTTAGAAAAAAAATCACTAATTAGAAGAAATTAGGGTGTATTTTCTCTCAATATCAGACATGCATTTCATCTTTTCTTCCCTCTGCAATCAAATATGACTTGTTGGGACTTACTGAAAGAAATACCAAAATGTTAGTGTGGGAAGCAATCCAATACTTAAGAGGACTGTTATTAAGCTGTAGGGTTTTTTTACATCTCTTGCAGTATCTCACAGTTGTAATACAATTGTGGGTAGTGTTTTTAGGTGTGATTCTGAAGACTAAAGAAAAGCTTAAGAATCAATGCTTCTTTTCAGATTTCTTGAGCTATATCTGGTATTTATATCCTCTTGCTTTTTTTGACATAAATATATTCTAATACATGGGTGCCTGTATATCAGTTTCAAAAGCCTATTTTACAATTCATTCTATTTCATACCAGGAAATGAAACAGTAACTGCTCTGATGCAATAATTTATCCAAATATCATTATTAGGGATATGTCAGAAAAAGCACTAAGTTTTCAGGAAAAACTGAACAGAACAAGTAGATGAAACATGTAATCAATAAGGGGCTTGACAGCATAAAAAGTACCATCAAAGTGAAAACGCAAGTGAAATAAGGAGTGCCAAATAAGAGCTGTTAGTAGTGTGTTTTCTGCTTGCTCCGCCTCTGACTCTGCAGTTTACCACAGAGCAAGAGTAATCAGCACAGAATTCACGAGCAAAATATAAAGCACACAACCTAGTGCCATATTGACATTAAATGAAATGTACATTTGTGCAAGGACAAGTAAGAAAACCCGGAGTTGCTCAAATAAAGTGTTATCTCCATATAGTTCTATATGAAGATTCTCCAGTAACAAGTAAGAAGACTAAAATTTCAATGCTTTGTAGATTTGTGAGGTCCTCCGTGGATCTTTGGCACAAAGTTGCACACTACTGGCCACCTCTCTTTAATACTCAGAAGACAATCAAGAAGATACACAGTAAGCACAAAGAAATCCCACTGAAAGTACTAGAAAAACCTGACTACATTAAATTAATGAGTTTCAGGAAGGTGACCAATAGAGGTAGGTCTGCTTGGCTGATTAATGATGGGGCAGGCAAAAGAGATGGAAAAGGGGAAAACAAGATGCCTAAGAAAGCTGAAACCTTCACAATTCTCTCTGGGTATTTATGTACCGCTTCAGGCAAAAAGGGAGCACCTAAGGACGTACTCAGTTGTGTTCCTCTGTGTCCCTGTGGATGAATCCAACAGTACCCTCTGGTACCCTAAGCTACAGTTCCTCCCTTCCCTTGCCACACAGCTGTTTTTTCTTAGAAGCTGTCCTCCATTTACATGTGAGCGACAAAATTTGGGGAAGGAAAGAAGAGGGCCTTATGATACTAGACAACAGGTAAAGCACCAGGAAAAGAGTAATCAAACCAACCTTGGTAGCTTCCATGATGATTTTATTGATTTTCTCTTTATCCAAGCCTTGCATTCCAGCTTTGTTATCATTGAGGCCCATTCTAAGTAGAACTCCATCAGTACAAGAGCTGCTACCGATCTTTTCCATGTTGTCCATAGTACTTCTTAAAAAAGAGTAGCTCTTTTAAGATTTAATACCTGAAAAAAAGAATTGAAATCATATATTTCTTTCTAAGTTCCAGCTGAACAATACAAAAAAAAAAATGGAATTCTTCTGATGTATTTATTTAATAAGCATTTTATACTTATTCAGAAAACACCACACTTACCACAAATACGAAGACTTGTATTCCTGTAAAGTGGCTGACCTGCCCTGTAAAGCCACCTGTAACTCTATCAGGGTTTGGAGACAGCAAGATTTTGCTTTTTTATTAACTTAAAAACATACTCTCTAAAAAGTTTCCTTGTAGAAATTAATGAGCACTACCAACTTCAGGTAAAGGTTAGTACCTTACACATGCTCATGAGATTTATACCTATATGTTATCTTGTCAGATGAAACAATACTGCCTTAAATATAAAATAATGCTCTCTAGATTATTACATTAAAAGAGGAGAAATGGAATGATTTTTAAATTGCAGAAGACCATTGTTCATTTAGTCCTCAAGACAAGCCACAGAATCTTTCCCAGTAATCTCTAGTTCAAATTCAAAACTTTTCTTTGTGTTAAAGCTCATCTTTTAGAAGCAGATAGCTTCAATTAAAAGTTTTAAATAAAACCCTATTCTTTAATGCAGGGTAAAATTCATGCTTTTTTTTTTTTCCCACTGATTTGTAGAGTCATGGTATTCAACTAATAGAATGTAACAAGCCTTTTCCACTCACTTATTGTCATCAGTAATTTCTTATACATGGAAGGACTTCTGATACGTGGGCTTCTAACATCTTCCCTTGTTGCTTATGAAAGTAAATAGCTGAATCTTTTGATGGGGTCTAATTACATGGTAAACTGTCTAGTTATTGAATTAATCTTAAAAAACTAAAGAAAGCAAATTTTACCTGCTGTAGTATGAACCCATGGTCTTATTTTTGCCAGGTTAAAACAAGTAGAATCCAAGTGATACTGGCATAAATTACTCAATATATATTTATTACTGGAAAAGCATAGAGAAATAATTTCTTACTACCCCAAGTTGCTGACTCATAAATCACTTCCACTTTACTCTCACACAGGATGCACATTCACTCCTAAACTTCCTCTTCAAGCTGTTCCCATGACAGGAGCCCCTCCTGTTTGGAGAAGCCACACCCTTTCAGGCACATACAAAAGCTCTATTAAACCACCACAAATTACACAAATCTAGAGCATTACATCTTTTCTTTAAATGCCACCTTCCCATACCAGGACTTAAGCGGGCCTCATTAGCAACCAAATTGAAGAAGGCCATTATGTATTTTTGCATTTAGAGATTAATTTTTGCTATTAAAGAGCAATACAGGTGATTTTTTAAAATTAATGGTGGCAATGTTTGTATAAGATCTTCTCCTGAAACATACTAGCAAACTGAAGTCAAGATATTAAAGAAAGCCATCTTTAAAAAAAAAATGACAAAAATATTTAATCATATTCTATTAATCAAGATTATTATTTATGATGTCTTCCGAAGATGAAAGATCAGGCAAATAATGCTGTGTTTATCTCCATCTTGTTGTATTTAAAAGAACAAAAGGTGATGTAGAGACCAGAACTCTTCTCTTGATCCTTCAGTAGCACTTGGGCTACTACAATGGCAACTAGCAACAGGAGTGACTTCATAGTTCTTATGTGCATCTATCAAATAAAAGACCACGATGATGAACATTTTGATAAATTTTTCACTTACAGTAGGACAATCTCTTACAGTTAACATACACATTTACCAGAACAGGTTTGCCAGCCTTCAATCACAGGAAAAAGCACTGCATCCCACAAAACATTCCAAGTTTCATCTCAAGCTCATAAGCACCCCTCATATCAATTAGCTCCACAATAATTCTATTGTTAGCGGCAATCTGGTAAGTAACTGATACTTAGTCTGGAAAGTAACAGGCACAATTCCCAATAAATACTATCCTTAAGGTAAATGCCCCTCCACTATTCCCCATAGTTCTTTTATTACTCT